CGTCTACATGCAACATTATAGCATTGTATTCTTTTCTTTTTTTATATGTAACATTATAGTATTATATTACTTTATTATTTACATGCAACATTATAGTATTATATTGTTTCATTTTTTATATACAATATTTTAGTATTAAACTCCTTTACTTTATTTTACTTCAAAGGCAAAACACCTATACTTCGACCAACAAAATATTGTTTTTATCGTTTCCCACGTGAAATATTTATTTAGCCAGCGAATTAATACGAAAAAGCATCAAAAACTAAATTAAAACGCACTGGGAGGACGACAAGTATTTTTCGAACAGTGACAGAAAATAATTCAAGGCAGTCAGCTTTCCTCGAATCGAACGTACGGTAAGAATTGTTTCCTCCTTCTGTTTTTTTTCTGTTTTTGTTCTCCTTATTCTTCGAGCAAGCACAAAGAACAGTTGTTCTAGATTATTTTAAGGTCATCGAAAGCGCGAGTCTGAAAGAAAAATGTATGATCGATCGTCCGATTTGACTGATTGGTTTTTCGGCCTCGAGTGCACTATACGTATAACAACGGGCAGTCATTGGCCGAAAAAAAAGTGTTTCCTTCCAACGGAAAGGTCAAACGTGTTTCAAATGATACGATGACGGCACGCCGCGCCGTATCGCCAGATTAAAGTGATGCATCTATGTTTGATACTGATAACGCGTGATCGTCGGTACATATTCGAAATTGTTCTCCTCCCTTTTTCAATTAAATATTAGCCTTTTGGCCAGATAAAATCGTTCAGATTAGGAAATGTATGTTGAACGTTAAGAGAGCACGTCTTAATCGAACATTGTTTAAAACCAGGATGAGAAAACTCTCAAAGGAATACGTGTACAGTGGTGTGATAATTATAGACATAATAGTAACTTTTACATTTTAAGCGATATTTAAACGAAAACTGAACAAGACGCTATACTTGTATATTTTTATATTAGAAATAACGGTATATATCAGTATAAAAATATAAAAGTTACTTTGTGTCTGATTATACACACCGCTGTATAGGTATATCTTTGTAGAGAATAACTGTTTGAAGCTGAAAATTTACTAACTTATGATTGAAAGTATGCTGAAAATCTGGTAAAATTTTTATAATTGCGTATCGAATCATTTCATTGTCAAAAATTCGTAAATATGTATTTATTAAATTTGATTTAAAACAAAAGGAGAATATACTTGTAAAGTATTGTTGTTTACTATTAACAATTGAACTTTCCAAGCTGAAAATTTTTATACATATTCCTCAAAGCTTTGAGAAAACATGGTAAATATTTCGCAAATTTATATTTAACTGTTCAGTTGTTAAAAATTCTTAGAACTAGCACGTTTTTCTCGAGCCCTACTTAAAACAAAATAGAACGATAGAGATAGATTTCAAAGAAATTGTTGTATCTCGTTGAAAATACATCTTTCCGAGCGGCAAATTTTTTAAATATCTATCAAAATACTGTCCAAGAGGCTAAAGTTTTACGAATTTATGTCTTGTTGTTTGGATACTGAAAAGTCTTAAATCAGTACGTTTTTAAAAACATCAAGTTTTTAAAAAATTACTAAAAATCAATTAAAAATTTAAGCCATATTAAATAATCAATTTCTTCAAGTTACTGATTGTTATATATATTTCCCAGGGCATCATATAAATGTAGCAACAGTTTTATAACTGAATATCGAACCGTTCACTTATCAAACGGTGCTAAAAGGACGCGTATTTAACGAGCAGGTCTTTTTAATTTTGAAAATGTATACTTCTTAGGATTAAAATACTCCAATTAAGGGTTGTGTGTCATCATGTATCTACAAAAACTCTTAAAAGTGACACATTCGGTATAAATAGATCAAATAATTGGAATAATTAAAATTTTGTAATGTAATCAAAATAATATAAAATTTATATAAAACTGAATATTTATATAAAACTAATATAAAATTAATATAAAACACCCGATATATAAATCGTTTTCTCTTACCGGTGTCGTTTTCGTGCCCTCGAATTCCATCCCCCACGTCCTCGGAGGCGGTGGAAAGGGCTGCAATCAAAACAGAAAATAGATTGTTTAAATGTTGTAGATTTTCATTTATTTTTTTTGTTATAGATTTACACTTCGTTTCAAACAATTTGAGATGAGAATTCTTAAAAAGTGCAGCAACAATTAAATTGAAAACAACACGATCAAAAATACGAACGCTTCCTTCGAGATTTTTTCATATTATTAGAAACAAATAAAATATTCGAAGTGATCGAGTTATTTGAATCACCCTGCATACCATTCCAATTACCTATTTCTCACAATTTGACCTGTGATTTCACACTTCACACTCGCACAATTTTTCTCACATACCTATCAATATAATAACTATACATGTATACATGTACATAATAATATGCTTATGTAATAAAAAATATATACATGTATTTATAAATACAATAAAATATATATAAACAAATTTTATTATACAGGGTGTCTCACCTAATACGAGCATCCAGAATATCTCGCTTGATTTTTACGATAGAAAAAAATGTCAGAGGAAAACATTAGTTGGTTCGGAAGGCTAAATATTATGACAGGCAAGAAAAATTTGTTCAAGGTTATACTTTCTGAGATTTCAAGGACATTGAAGTTTTTTTTAAATGGAATGATATAATTTTATTATCGCTGTATGATAGCCGAGGTCAAGACGAATTCAACGATCTGTAATATTATGACCTTCGCGTGACCTTGAGTACGAAAAATTCATAAAAGTAGGACATATATGTATATATATATATATATATATATATATATATATATATATTTAAAAATCAGTATTACTATAATATATTTATTTATGTAATAAAAAATATATTTTATCATAATATACCAAAAGTTGAATTGAAATCAAAATCACTATACTGCTGCGAAATTGTATGGGAATTAATAAATGAAAGATTTTAGCGTCGCCGTCGTTATTCGGTGACATTTGAATGTAACGTGTTATAACAGCATAAGAATAATAATAAATAAAATAATTTCAATCATTTAAAAAAAAAATCTTGCGAAATTTGAAACAACGGTATAGTTATTTCCAAGGCAAGATAGACCTTGTTCTCGGTATTTTCGCATATTTACGCATCTTTTCGAAATTATAATAGTGTCGTGACTGCGGAGTGGACCATATACGCCGACCTTACAGTTCCAATTTAATGTAACCTTGCAGCGATCGTGATCGGCGGCCTCTCGACGGTCTCGGAGTGACAGTCTCTGCAGATTTCAACTCCAACGCGCGAATCGCGTTCGCGAGTTCTGTCGTTGCGCAACATCCGCGACCAAACAAACGAATGAAATCATAAAAGTGACCCCAAAAAATACCGGAGTTCGTGCTCTACAACCGAATCCACGCTAAACAGTATCGTTTCAAGAGGTACAATAACATTTACTAGCTGGTCGATCATTCTAATAACTGCACAGGTAATTTTCAATTAAAATATGAATGATACAATTAATCACCTGTTCATAAAATTAATTACTACATAAACAACCTAATCATAGTGAAATCGTTTTTATACTAACTCACTTATCAGATTCGTTACTAATCAACTCATTCGTATTAATATCGGTATGATATAAATATTATGCATTCTTTGATTTTGCAATAATAATAACAAATAAATAAATAAATATTTAGCACAAATAACATTGGTTATTATTTCTAGTGGATTAGATATATTAAATGTCGTATTACTAGTATACAATATTAATTGATATAAATGGCATTGAAAATTGTGTGCTTAATTGTAAATAAATATTTGTACTGTATTAGTATTACATTTATATAATTAATTAATATTTTATATGATTTTAATTCATGACAGAAATAATTAGTATAAACAAAATTAATGTAGCGAATATAGTAATGATTTAATGGAATATAAATGAATACGGTAACATTTTTTTTTTATAAATGATGCAGCAGTATTTGTTTATATTTCTACGATCAAGAAAATATTTCTTTCGAATATTGTACAAATTAGCTTACACACCGAACAACGTTATTCAACAAGATAAAATGAAACGATTTGTTTATAGATTAATTAGATACGAAAAATTAATATCAATAGCATCTCCGTTAACAATGGATCACTCGAGACGCGCCTAATACATATTTCGTGCTCGTAGAACGGACGATAATTGAATGATAATTGTGTGCTCGAGGTAAACATATAACTAGCCGGGAGTTGGTTGTAGAAACCGGTTTTAAATCGGCGACACGTAAAACCACCGATTCCAAATTTCGCTTCTACACGTGCGGCTGTCGAACGGTACCGGTGAACCCTTCAAATGAACCGTGTTAGAGTTGTAATCCGAGCATCGAATATCCTTCGATACCCTGTTACGATATCGATGACTAGATCGCGGGTCTTTGTGCAAAATAAAAAGTGTCTTACGTCGATCGCAAGAAACGGAAATTCAAGAAAGATAAATTGCTTCTGCTAACGATTCTGTTAACTCGATGATAGTGTAACAAAATCGTTAAATTGTTCTTATGTCCTCGCAATAATGTATTTCAATTATTCATTTCTGTCATAAATTAATTAAATTCGCGGTCTACCGATGACGAATAATCGCAGTGCTTCGCGTATTATATTTCTCTTGGTAATTGCAGATTTATTTGTTCGCAAATTTATTCGCGAGTTTATTCGCTCGATATTATAGCGCTTCTGCTCTCGATAGCATTTGTATTCATGTAAGCAAATTTATTACGTGCTCCCGACGAGCAACTTTGGGTTCCATTGTGATGAAATTGTACAGTGGTCCACAAAAGTGTTCACCTTTTCAGACACAATAACTTTTTCAAAGCTGACTAGGGACTAGTCTACTATACGATGGCTAAAAAGCTTTTTTTTTTAATTTTGCTATTACTTGGAACGAAAAGAAAGAATTAAAAACGCTCGTTTTTTAACTTTTTCATCTGAGCCTATAACGGAAATTTAATAAATGCCTTTTGTAAATCTCGATAACTTATATTAATAACTTATATACCAGAGTCTCTCTCTCTCTCTCTCTCTCTCTCTCTCTCTCTCTCGAGCTACAACCGTTGAAGGATTTTAAAAACTGCAGATTTCTTACAGTTTTTGGTCAAAATCGTGGTAAAACTGCGATTTTTTCGATCTTTAATTTGTTGTAACTCGTAACAACGTGTACCGATTTCGATAAAATTTTCAATATGCATATAAGTTACCGAGATCTGCGAAAGATATTTTTTTAATTTTCGTTATAGGCTTGGATAAAAAAGTTAAAAAAACGAGAGATTATTATTATGTTGTAATTCTAAGTAATAGCAAAATTAAGAAAGAAAGCATTTCAGTCATCGTCTAGTAAGTAGATTAGTCCTTCTATCATCTAAAAAGAAATTCAATTCATTTAGTTCAGTTTATAAATAGTTATTGCGTTTTAAAAGGTGTACGAATACTTTTGTGGACCACTGTATATGCTGTTAGGGTGAAACAATTTCGTTAATTGGTGGTTTTGTCGAAATTGTTTTAGAGATGATACTTCCTGCTAAAATGTATTCAGTGCTTGTTAAGAGCGTAATAATTCTGATAAAAGTGTACCTGTTTGAGATTTTTTAACAACAGAATGATTAAATATAAATTCGCAAAAATTTTTCCACATTTCTATGATACTGTGAAATGAATATACAAAAATTTTCAAATTAAAAAATTAATTTTTCAGTGAAATGCAATTATTCTTTTTTTTTTGTAAAATCCTTTCAACTTCGTTTCATGCGAGACTTGATAAAAACGTACCTGTTTGAGAATTTTTAATAATTCAGTAGTTAAATATTGGAAAACTTTTCTTATATTTTTATGATGCTCCGAAGTATGTATTAATAAATTAGCAGCTTGAACAATTCACTTTTCAATGAGATTGCAATAACCTTATTTCTTTTTATGGAGGCGGATGAAAGTGTACCAGTTTGGAATTTTTTAATAACTGAATGTTTAAGTAACAATTTAAAAAAAATTTCCAAACTTTTGCAATGCTTTGAGGTGTACGTACAAAAAGGTAGGTACCTACAAAAAAGTCCGTGAAATTGAATTTTCAATGAGATACAATAATTTTAGAAAACCCTGTCTCGCAACATTGTTCTAAGCGAGTCTTAAAAATGTATTTGTTTCGAAATTGTTAACAATTGTGTGGTGAAATAGAATTTTGTAAATCTTTCACTGCATTTCTACAACGTTTCGATGCATATACGTGAACATACGTCGAAGTTAAACAAAAATGTATTATGCTCCAATGTTCGAAATATCGGTTTGTCTTACGATTGCACGAAAGGTAATTGTAATAGGGTTCTCGCAACTTCTGATTAGCGAAATACGTGTCATCATAGCGTTCCACAGACAGGAAGTCATAGGCACAGTCGATAGTTCGTTCCGGTATGTATCGTGCCGTTTCATGGACTTTGCAAAAATCGTTGAAATCACCTGAAACGTCGATGATGAAACGAAGCATCGACTCGATTAAAGACGAGTGTCATTCTGGAATTTCGAATAACTAAATAGTGAATATTAAATGTTTCGAAATCATACTATATTTTCTAAATATATGCAAAATTGCTACTAATTGTCGATTCTTAATGAATATGTATTTTAATAAGATTGAATGTCACGAAACATGAAATGAAATAATAACACAAGGTGTAATAAAAAATATAATGAAACTATGTTCAACGAAATGCGAAGTAAGATTAAATTTCACAAAATTTGAAATTAAATACAATAAATTGTAATAGATATTGTATGTAATAAGACGTACAGTAAAATGAAAATGCAATGAAATGTAAAATAAAATTGTAATCTACTATGAAATTCAAATTAATGACAATGAAATGTCATAGATATGTGTATAATAAATCAAAGAGTGTGTAAATTCAACCGAATAACTTAAAAATCCTACAAATACGAGTTATTTCAATATCAGTATACGTGTGCAATGGAAATACACGTGTAATAAATATGCACGTGTAATAAGTATACACGTGTAAC